TGTTGATTTCTCTTTTGGAAAAGAAGTAAAATTCTTAAATGCACTTTAAAAAGAAAAAAAAAAGACAGTGAACAGGGTAGGACAGGAGGAAGTGAATTCCATTAGGTAAAGGCAGGAGACATTGCAGGAGAGAGAGAATTTGCATGATGAGACTATATACTCCATCGGAAGCTCATTAAGAATTTACAGCAGATCATTAGACTATTTATTATTTTGATGTCTCTTGTGAATTTGAGGGCCGGACATAATGTGTGTTACTTTCTCCCAGTAAGTCATACAGAAATTTTCCTAATTGTTCTAACCTCCTATCTCACTGACCTCTTGTCTCACTAGGGATAGTGAGTGTTGTACATAAAAGGAGAAATTATTTTTTTTTCTCCAGTAGGATAGTTTTTAGTTGTATTTAATAAATTACAGTTCGAATTAGAGTGTTTGTGTAATTCATTCAAGTGAGCATAGATCTTGTGGAATAAACCTGGGGAAGTGTTAGTGATTCAGCTGATGGTACTACCAAGTAATGGGGAAGAACTAAGTGATCACTTTGCCTGGAGCAAAGTCTTTTTGCCCTTTCCCTTGGAGAGAGTGCTGTTTGCTGTCCTAACCAGTCACAGTGTTTAGCTATAAACAGCAGTCAGATTCCACCCTGTACAGAAGACTTTACTTTCAATAGAAGGGTTGGCTCTAGTGACCTGTTCTTGGAAGACCTTAAGGCACTTTAGAACCTTTCAAGATGAAGTGCTGTACAAGCTTAAGTTTGATAATATGATACAGTTAGTGGGTAAACAAACTCGTAACTGTTCTGAAAGAACAAGTATGTGCTAACTCAAATGAACAAAATGTTGTGGCCTTGGTCTGCATTAAAGCCTTGAAATCCAGGGAGGTGATCATCCCCCTGTACTCAGCACTGGTGAGGCCGCGCCTCGAGTGCTGTGTTCAGTTCTGGGCCCCTCACTATAAGAAAGATGTTGAGATTCTGGAGCGTGTTCAGAGAAGAGCCACAAGGATGGTGAGGGGTCTGGAGAACAAGCCTTATGAGGAGCGGCTGAGGGAACTGGAGTTGTTTGGCCTGGAGAAGAGAAGGCTGAGGGGAGACCTCATCAGTACCTACAACTACCTCAAGGGAGGTTGTAGAGAGGTGGGTGCTGGTCTCTTCTCCCAGGTGATGGGGGATAGAACAAGGGGAAATGGCACCAAGCTGTGCCAAGGGAGGTTCAGGTTAGAGATAAGGAGGAAGTTCTTTACTGAGAGGGTCGTCAGAGGCTGGAACAGGCTGCCCAGGGAGGTGGTGGAGTCACCATCCCTGGATGTATTTAAGGAGCGGGTAGACGAGGTACTTAAGGATATGGTTTAGTGGGTAGACAGGAACGGTTGGACATGATGATCTCAGAGGTCTTTTCCAACCGAGCGATTCTGTGATTCTGTGTGTGATTCTGTGATTCCTTCACTTTTATTGGGAAAAACAGTCTCTCGGGTTGACTCAATGTTATTAAAATATTTTAAAGTAATTTGCCAGCTAAGTGGCTAGTTTTTGAATATGCTTTGTATACTTGGTCTAAAACATTTCTGTAGTTGTATTTCACAGTCTCTGCATCTTTCACATTTCCAAATATTGCTGGGAACCTATTTCTTTCAAAGCTTCTGTGTTAGCTTTGATGTGTGTGCAAAGATTTGCATGGATGACTGAGATGGAGACAATTCCCAAATCTTTACAGCTATTTGGTAACTACTTCATCTTGTATATAATGATGACTTAATGAACCACTTGAGCTTGCTTGATTAAGATGTATGTTTTCTTCCTTACAGTACCACTGTGATCCAAAATGTGAACAAAGCTCAAGTCAAGATCAGAGCTAAAAAAGACAATGTAGCAGGTGATTTTTTCCAGACTCTGAGTATTTCAACTCAAGGGAATTGTGGGAGAAGACTCTGAAATATGCAGGAGTGTATTCAAACACTGCCTCGTCTTCTTTATTTCTCGTATTCATCTTAACAGTGAGAACACTTGTAATTTGCTGGGTTTTTCACATATAGGAGATAGTTTTTATATTTAGTTATTTACCTCTCATAAAATTAAATGACTGTAACTTGCAGTCCGATTTCTAGATGTTTGAACAAAACACAACTTCCATAGAGCTTTACTGAAAAATAGATCAGGAAATTAAGTACAAAAAAAAAATAAATTTCAGGATACTAAATATCAGTAATTGTCTATGAAGAAAACAAGAAAGGTAAATCAGGATTGAATGCTTAAAATATTCCTTAAGCACAGAAAATGCATTACTAAACAGAAACATAATAAAACTGAACACTGAATAAACCGGAATACTTCCCCAAATTTTTTCACGTGTCCAGATCTCGTTCTCAATACAATTCTGAAGTTCCATATTAAGATGTCAAAACCAGCATGATTTAATCATTCCAAGCTGTATAGGAAGATTTTGGAAACAAAACTTCCAAGCTTACATAATTTATTAGAAGCAAACAGAGTAAAAGTGAGTTGTATTTAGTAAATCTATAACCCTTTGTCTCTTACACACATTCTTGTTCACTTTTGTCAGGTGTAACCTTGCCAGTTTTTGAGCATTACCAAGAAGGAGGGGACAGTAAGTACAAAACAAGTATTTTCTATCTTATATGTACTTGTGGCTATTCTATGCTACTACAAAAATACTTGTCAGGTTATGTCTTGCTAGAAAGTCAGTTTACATCACTGGCAGAGGTGTACTTACTTCCTCTACGGTGCTTTGCCCTGTTCCTGTGACATCAAGGATGGGATTATTAGGGACCATAGTGGATTTTGATTTCCTAAATCGATGAGTTTTTCAGACAAGAAGCCTTGTCTTGAATTACCAGGTTTTAAGACTGGTAGGATTTAGTGTGGAAATGCACAGCAATGATCTGTAATAACATAAACCACTATAAAGACAATTTGTTAATGAGCAAAGGCTTTATGCTGGCACTTGCTGAGCTGTCGGTATTCCTGTAATTTGTGAAGTACTAATTTCTATCTAGTAAGAAAACACCATAGTAGCAATAGCAACAAAAGTTATTTGATGATGTTTTAATTATTTTTTTCAGGCTATGAGCTGACTGGCTTGGCCAGAGGTGGAGAACAGCTGGCTAAGCTGAAGAGGAACTATGCCAAAGCTGTGGAGCTGCTTGTGGAGCTGGCCTCCTTACAGGTTGGTGGGAAGAAAAAAAAGAGGATTGTTGGTTTCTCACTATTCTGAAGTTAAAGTAATGTAGTCTCAGTGATTCTAGCTTAATATTTTGAGCTGTACTCTACTCCTTTAGTCCCAGTGCTGTACAAAGTTGCAAACCTTTTTCAGCTACAAAACAGTTACATTACTGCTTCAAAGAAGTCCTTATTCCTTAGAGCTAAGAGGAAACATTTTGTGGTGAGTTAGTATTTGTAACTGCTAATGTGTAGTGTTCAGTGTGCTACTGACATTAGTGGGGAAAAAAAACCGCTTCTACCAAGAATGCAGTCTGTAGACTTGGCTTGGGCTTTCAAGTGCGATTTAGTTTTGTGTATAGAATTGATGTAAATGCTAAATTTGTCTTGTTATATATTAATTATTTAATCCCATTCCATCAGACATCATTTGTTACTTTGGATGAAGCCATCAAAATAACAAACAGACGTGTGAATGCAATTGAACACGGTGAGTATTTTTCCATTTGGGATGCGTATTTTTCTGTCTCCATACAAGATGAGGAGCAGGCTTACTGGAAGCCACGCTTCTTTTGACTGCTTTTTTGTTTCTAGGATTTCAAACCAGTTCATGAACTATGCAGAAAGCATTACAGTTAAGCATAGTGCAAATAAGAACAAAAATTAAAAGCTTAGTGGAACGGACTGGAGTACAGAGATAAATAAATACACAAACCTGAGAAAGTAATCAGGAAGTTGTATTGAGAGCCTATAGAACAGAGATTTCACAGTCACATTCTGGAGTCCCTGCTAGTGACTTTGACTTATTTGGTCAGGTCTGTTGACTAGAAATGAAAGACAGAATGTTCTTACGTGTTACAATTTAATAGCTAGTATAATAGCCTTTAAAACTATAATTGTGGTGTCCAGTGGAGAGCTGCTGACTTTTTTTTGTTGGTTTTGGATGAGATTGCAGAATAGGCATCCAGAGAGAAATCCTGGTAACCTATTCAAGTTTATGTTACAGGAAATGGAACAGTCCTAATGTCAATGTTCTGGTATTTTTCTTTCATCTGAATTCCTTATCTGTTATGTTCTTGTTTGTAAATTTGTTTCTTGCAATTTCTTAGGTACTACACAGCACAATATTGCTGTGACCCCTTTTGGTGCAGTAGCCAGGGTGCTTTAATTATTTCAAGTTCCTTCTGAGTAGTTGTTAGCTGGGATTTTATCATCTTTGCATGTATGCAGGAACTTATTTTAGTACATGAATCTGAACCATCCTTTTCAGCAGTATTTTTCATAGACTTGTTCCTTTGAATGTGCAGGCCTTATCTGCAGCTTACGCTCTACAAATTTAACTGTAGAAAAGGTTCCCTCTGCAGCCTTCCAAATAACTTTAGTAGTGCTGATATAACAGCTTTCTCCTTTTGAAAAGTGATTCTGACACATAGCTTGCCTAGCTGAGTGATAAAGCTTGTTTAATGTCTTATCTCTTCCCTTGTAATGGTGTTATATTTGAATATTTGTTTTCACAATGGCTTTTTCAAACAGAGATCACAATTCTGAGAGTAAAAGTGCTATATTGAACAGAAGTTTCTGAAAGAATGTGCTGGAAGAACATAATTTTAATTCTAATCTTGCCTTACGTCTTGCAGGATTTTTTTAAAACTACTTCCATGGGGGAAAAAGGACCTTACAACCAACCAGGGATCAGTGTTTGCTGATTCCATTGCATCTTTCAAACAAACATGCTATGGGAGATCGTGAAGTTCAGAGTACCAGTTTAGTCCTGGACTTACCAAAGAAAACATTTCCGTGTACTTGTCCATAATGAAATAGTATGATCTTTATGTAAATTATCCCCAGCTAGAAGAATTACCACATTGACTTTAGGAACCATCTGTGCACTGCATTAGATATCTTCCTGCCTAATATAACAGCAGCCCAACAACTTCCTTATTTATATTTTTTAGTGATTATTCCCAGGATTGAGCGTACCCTTTCTTATATCATCACAGAACTGGATGAACGAGAACGAGAGGAATTCTACAGGTAAATATTTAAACCAAGACCAGACCTGTCTCTTTCTCAAATAGACCGTTCCTTAGAAGGGACTTAGGAGAAGTATTCACCAGATCTGACAGTGGACACTGTTAAACATGACCTGGTTCTTACTGCACAGAGCTGAGCATAGAGAGATGCAATTACTCATCTCAAAGTTACAAACTAATCCCTACCACTAGGCTGAGCACACCTGCCATTATTGTCCCTCCAGAGGGAATGGTGTGATAACAGTACACTGAGGTGTTCTGCTTTAAGGACCCCTCTGCTATAGAAATGTGTTAATCTGCAGAGATGAAGTTTTTCAATGGCAGCAACTAGAAATAAAGGCCTTTGTTGTGGCACTTTCATTTCCTGGGGAACTTCTCCAGGCAGTTTTGTCATACCCAAGTTGTATGGCATCTTTGCTGTTGGCCTGTTTTATGAAGTCATCATGTTGCTTTTACAGATAAACCACCTTTCTTTTCACAGGTTAAAGAAGATCCAGGAAAAGAAAAAGGTATTGAAAGAAAAATCTGAGAAAGAACGGGAGCTGCGGAGGGCTGCTGGTGGGGAACGTGAACCAGCCAATCTCTTAGCAGAAGAGAAGGATGAAGACCTTCTCTTTGAGTAACCCAGCACTGTTGTTGTTTATGGAGCAGGGGACCCAGAGTACAGAATGTCCAATTGCAATATAATTCAGGACACGTTGCCTCAATGATACTTATGTGACTTCTCAATTGGTGTACAAGTCTTGAGTTGAATGGATTGTGGATTTCTCCTGGGAGATTAGAAATCTGGGAACTTGACTGGAGCATAGAAAGAAAAAGATGAGTCAGGTGCTTTCTTACCAGGAAAGCTGCCTGTTGCATGTTCAGCCGGTTTCTTCACTTAGTAGGAATGACTGTCCATTTGCAGGATGGCTCTGGATTTGCCTCATCAGATTCTTCTCTCATTGCTCCCCTTGCTAGTGCAAGCAAAATGAAATGTTATTTAGGGAGGGAGATGGCATGTAACGTTCTTCACTGCTGAACTCTTAACGTTCAAGTTGCTCAAAGCAGGTATTCTCAGAGCTGAAGTCAGATGTCAGTAAAGACAACTCTAGTTTTCTAACCTGCTGATGAAATCTGCAGTCTTCTGTGATTTTTGTTGCACGATTGTTACCATTGGCCTAAAACATCCATGGCTTTGATTTAGAGGTTCTGCCAACTTGTGTACTGTCTGTGCTAGAAGCAATTAACAATTTTAAATGTTAACTATCTGGTGTCTGGCTCATCTGCTAGATGGTCTTAAAAGCTTGGAAACTGTCATGTTGATTTCAAAATAAAAACTTCTCTTCATCTCTTGACCCCAACTTAGAATCTGCACCGGGCACATCTCTCTTCATCCCATGCCCACATTCAGTTAACCTTTACTGCTTCAGGTAAGTAACCAAGAAGTGGCTTGCTACTGCCACAAACACAAATTCTTCTCAGCTATCCAGCTGGATGTTGCAATGAAAATTTGGAGCAACAAGGAGGCTGGCAAGCAAGCCAGGGTTGAATGTAAAATAGTCCATCCTTGCTGTGAGTCTTCATGTCCTAGGCTGATAAGCAGGCTGTTGCTGAATGCTGTGCAGTTCGGAGTGCTGTTTTCCTAAAGACGTTGGTTTGCAGTCAGCAAACAGAACACATGCCATAGTGGTAGCACTACTACATTGTCTCTAGTGCTATGAGTCTCTGCAAGGTGAGCATCTTGTTTAAAACATGATCCAGCACTCAACTGCAGATGCAGGATAAGTGCAAGGAAATGAACTTCTATTAACACCTTTAAAAAGGCACTTTATAATTGTATGAGGCACAAGGCCATTTCTTTTTCCTTTTGGAGCTGAAGGCAACACAGTTGTGTAGGTCCATACTCTGTTGTAAGAAACAGGTCAAGCTTGAAGGAAACTCTAGATTGGAGGACATGTTTTTACCTCTGTCACTGCATGCATGGCGTCAGAAAGAACCTCAGAGAACATCTAGGGCACTGATGGGTCACAGCATCTTTCACACATTCAGCAAAATTGCAGAGAGAAGACTCCCAGTATCCACTACAAGAAGTAAAATTGTACAGTGATTTATTTTAAATCTAGAAATATTTTACATTTTTACATTAGTGTGCAGTTCATGATGTCTCAAAATACAGAGTGCAGATACACGTATAAAAGTACAGTGTGGGGCTAACCACAGGTCTTAGTAAAATTACCTTAATTATTTAAGGCATTAACCCCCTCATCTTATTAAAAAGTCACATATAATTACATTCAAAAATTACTTTATGCAATTCAGCTAAAGTTTCTTTTTAATTATATCTGGATTCGTAAAAATGAAGACATCCTCATTCCAGTCTGATACAGCTCACTACAAAGGCTGTGATAAGGTTTTCACAGGTGAAGTTTGCATATTCTCTTTTACTCTCAAGGGAAATAACAGACACTCTTCATTACAGGCGGCAGAATCATTTCTCACACACGATAGTTCCGGGTCCAAACTGGCAACAGATGGAGAGACAGATACACTTCTCAGTGTTGCCAAAGCCCTTCCTCTCAGCAGGAGATAAAGCTAACAGTTATGAACTACCGCAGCACCCCTCTACATGAATGTCAGCAAGTTCTGTGTGCTTTGGGAACTGAGAGAGTAGACCTGAACTTTCTGTCACAATGTTCTGTAAGTCTATTGAAGTCCACATTCAAAAGCTTATTTCTATAAAAAGAGTTTCTGTACACCATTTCAGAAGAATGGGAGACAACCATGAGTCAATTGCATTAATGGCATGATTTACTGTGACTGACACTGCCTATAAACACACAATTCCTAAGGGGGTTCAGCAACCATCTTGAGTTGATTGTGACTGCAAGAATTTGGGCAGCACCTACATAGCTGAGCTAGGTTACCCTTACATTTTATTGCTTTCCACCTTCTTGTCCAATTCAGTATCAAAAAGCCTAATACATCTACAATCATCTTTCTTAAAAAGGGTACAATCAGTACAATATTTTGTCATCTCTGAAATACTATCCACTATACCTGAACATGGTAGTTGTCAAACTATGTGTTAAGCTGAGAGCATGCCTGCAATGTGAGGCAAACACTGAACTGAACTGAAGACTGAAGTTTCCAACCCCTTCTCTTTCTGAAGTGTCATTATGTATCCCCACTAACTGCTTAATTGTTTTTCAACCCTAAATACTAATTAAACCAGCAAATCATTTTGCTTTCTAACAAGACAGGAATGCACTCTATACTTCCATTTTTCAATACAAAAATGTACTGAATGTTAGCTCAGTAGCTAGTAAAGCTCTGACAACTTCTTTATATCTGCTGTATACTTCCAGCTCTCTAACTATGGGTGTGAATTTGTTCCATTACCATTTGAAGGAAGGATATATGCAAGACAAAATAGAAAAAATCAACTATTTTTTCATCCTTCAACATTAGATGGGAATAAACTACACATTGATGTAACTCCAGTGTTTTACCTGTAGGAATAAAGAAATGCTACGGCTAAAGTGAAAAGATATTCACAGTCAATGTTCTTTGTGCTATGCCAAACCAAAACAGCCAACATACCACTACTCCGTTAGCTTCAGCGACAGAACAGCCCTACTGCAGATGCACAGCCTTAGCAGGTAAACCTTCACAGCTCAGGATCATTTGAAGATGCAGAGATGACCCCATCTGCTTTGCAGAACACACTGGGATAGAGACCTTGCCTTTTGCTCGCTTGTGTCAAGGTTGGTTGTTTTTTTTGTCCTAACAATTACAAATATTCCTCCCTTTCTTGTGACTTCTCAGTCAGTTACCAGTGTTTTCACACATACTTTCACTGCAGTGCTGAGCAAATGCAGGACAATATCTTGGCTAGTGAATTACAATACTCATTTATAAAACAGCTACATTCAGCTATTTTAATTCCAGTTAATGATCCGTTAGGCCAACAGCCACAAGATGAACCATTTGCAGAGATTAAAAACCCCCACTATCTTCCAATGTTCAGCACATCAGTCTATTTTATTCAGTATTCTGTTATAAAACATAAGAACTGAAGTTGATTTAAGCAGCATGTCTTATAACTATATATACTTCACAAAAATATAGCCTCTGCCTTTCTAAATATCTCTACAGATCTGTGGAAAACAGTGGCTCCAATCCATCAATATGTTTTAAAGAAAATTCCATAAAAATATCACATCTAAAAGATCAATATTCATTTTTGGACCTAAAATTAATGTGCAGTCAAATCTAATTTAAAAAGTCTGACTAAAAAGACACAAGGATTGAAATATTTACATTATATACATTTTCCAATTACAGTGCTATTAGAAAGTGGAATGTTTGAGAATTAAAATATTAATTCAAGCCTCGCAGGGCAGCTCCAGACCAGAGCAGCATCTTCATTCTGTGTATTTTTTGAACAACAGAGATTTCTCATTAATAGCAACATTTTTCATGTGTAGATTATTTCTCTGCCCAATGATCTGTAGAATTGTGCTCCTGAACTACCATCATGTCCCACAAAGCCATTAAGTTAAGTGTTAAATAACATTCATATTTATAACTATGTGACAGCATGGACTGTATATACACACACATACTTAAAATCTTTGATTTCATAAGGGTGATTCTAGGTAAAAAAGGTGGATTTATGTATAAAAGTAGATGCTAGAAAAATCTATTTAAAGCTGTAGAATTTAGTACTGACAAAGTCTCTATTTCTAGACCACAGAGAAAGAAAACTCAGACAATCTTTAGATCAGTTAAACTGACTCACAAGCCGATCAGCGTATTTTTTCACTAATACACAATTTCACTGGCAAAGGATGCAGCCACTGAGGTCTAGAGCTCACACACGTCTATACTAGAGTCAGGCAGACCCACACGCGATCTCCTTGGAAAGATTACTAGATTGAAGTCCATTTGTCCCTTGGAATTGCTCTCTCATCGTAGCCAGGTAGAGGGCACCCACTGGGGTTCTGTGTCAAGTTTGTTTATTAACCGAAGTAACTCTTGATACGCCTTATCGAGATCAGAATTCACAACTGCTGTATCAAAGTAGTGGCCATTGTTCTGTTCCATCTCTCTTGTCTTCTCTATGATTTCTCTCAGCTCTTCTGGCTGCAAGCAAAAGCAGAGAGTTAGTGTATGTGTGTGAGCCTCTGTGTCACAAGAGCAGAGGGAGGGAAAGGTAACCACTTGACTCAGAAAAGTCTTCTACACAAATTTTCATGATATCGCTATCAGCTACTGGAAAGTTTACAATAACGTTGAACCACGACACATATTTGAAAGCTACGGGCACTCAAGACAATTTCTTCTGATTGGCCCTAAGTGGCAAACAGTAAATAACTGTCCCAGACTGAAGTAAATGACTGCTCATTTTATGATGTTCATCTTACTAAGGCTCTTAAATCATGTTTCTGAAAAATAAGTTAGGTTGCTAAGCCCCATTATCCTTCTGAAAAAGACTGGAGATTGCAGAGAGAGTGGGAGAGAAAGTCTGAATGGTGTATTCAGACAGCGTTCTTCTGGAGATGTAGCACTACAGGCACCAAACAGCCAAAGGCAGCAGCTATCACTGAAATACCTTTACCAATAAACAGCAATGAGAACCACAATGAGCGCTGTACATTTAAGTTGATCAAATCACTATAGCAACAGGTGAATGACATTGCAGAAAAATGGGAAACATGTTCTGGGAGCTGGAAGGGAATATATCAAAAGCAAGAATACTGCAAAGGAGAAGCAGAAATGGTTTGTTTTACTTGACAATTTTTGTACACTTGGTTTCTAAAAGTGTGTTTGTTTTCTACAGCTTATTTTTGTATTATATAAATATTCAGGTATAATTTTTGAGATACTTGTCTGAAGAGGATATTTTTAAAAGGGACTTCAGGCCCTCAAGATTTTTTTCTAGGAGTTACATACACTTAAGAAAAACCAAAGCCACATACATACAAGAAATAACACTTTCCTGTAACAGGAACCCCTTCATTCCACAAAAATTATTTCTAACTAAGTGATCTGAACTGAGTAAGCTGAGATCTTGACATAACATGGAAACATGGTTGAAACATGGAAAGTGATCCTACAGGATCAAGTATTTAAGTGTCTGAAGAGTTTCAATATTTTCAAGTAAATGCTTTTTCAAGTTCTCAAAAGAAACACAATTATCATTTGCTCCCTAGAATTACTTTCAGGTCTACTTGAGTACAAAGTTGGGTTTCCCAGTTT